CTGCCGTCCCCACATGACCGGACGTACTTGCTCGCAGCCCAAGCAGAACTACTTTATTCCCTCGCTGGAGGAAGTGCACGAGGCGGAGGTCATTGATGAGTGCATCTCCTACGGTCCCAATGGTAACTGCAGCCTGGTCGCCGAGACTCCGGACGGCAGCTTCACGGGCATTGGCTTCACCAGTGTGCCGGAGAACACAGAGGTAGTCTTCACCGTCGAAGACATTCCCCGCTCCATGCCCTACGACGTGGTGATCCGCTACCAGAGCACTTCGCGCGGCGACTGGGAAGATGCCTACATTACCCTGGTCCGGCCCGACCAAATCGATCCCGACGGTGAGTGCGGAGAAGTTGCAGCGGCTCATGCTGCCCCAGAAGCCCGGGTACCGTTCTCCCTGCCCGATCGCAATCGCCAGGTGGTGGCCCTGCCGGATGTCTGCCTGGAGGCCGGCAAGGTGTACAAGTTCCGGATTCATTTCGAACGGAAGCGCCACAATGAGGACAGCCCCACGGCCACGATCCTGATCGATTCTCTTACACTGATCCCCCGCATTGAGGTTACTCCGATCTTCACGGGATCCCCGATGGCCGACCTGCGCCGGAAGGAGTACGCCCGGTACAACTGCAACAGCTCGCTGTACGACATCAACTACAAGGCACCGCCAGAGTGCCAGTACCTGGACAACTACGTGAGCACGTATGTCCACGACGGAGCCAGGATGTGCAACTGCAATCCCACGGGCTCCCTGAGCAAGGAGTGCGACTCCAACGGAGGCTACTGCCAGTGCAAGCCGAATGTGGTGGGCCGGCAGTGCGACCAGTGTGCTCCGGGCACCTACGGCTTCGGACCGGAGGGATGCAAGGCCTGCGACTGCAACAGCATCGGATCGAAGGACAATAACTGCGACCTGATCACCGGCCAGTGCACGTGCGCCCCGAATACCTACGGCCGGGAGTGCAACCAATGCCAGCCGGGCTTCTGGAACTTCCCAGATTGCCGGGCTTGCCAGTGCAACGGACATGCTGCCCAGTGCGATCCCATCAAGGGTACATGCTTGGAGTGCCAGGTAATATGCGATTCCTCCAAGGATTTGAATTCTTTATAGCCTAACCCTTTGGTTGTTCTCCCTTAGGACTTCACCACCGGCTATAGCTGCGACAGCTGCTTGGAAGGATACTACGGAAACCCTCTGCTGGGAAGCGAGATCGGATGCCGACCCTGCCGCTGCCCGGAAACGGTGGCCAGCGGACTGTCTCACGCCGATGGCTGTTCCCTGGACACTCGCAACAACAACATGGTCTGCCACTGCCAGGAGGGCTATGCCGGTTCCCGGTGCGAGATCTGCGCCGATAACTTCTTCGGCCAGACGGAGAACGGAGGCACTTGCTCCAAATGCGACTGCAGCAACAACATCGATCCCTACAACACTGGCAACTGTGACCGCCAGTCGGGAGCTTGTCTGAAGTGCTTGTACAACACCACCGGCGACCACTGCGAGCTCTGCCAGGATGGTTTCTACGGCGATGCCCTCCAGCAGAACTGCCAGACGTGCGACTGCGACTTCCTTGGAACGAACAACACCGTGGCGCACTGTGACCGGTTCACGGGCCAGTGCCCTTGCCTGCCGAATGTCCAGGGTGTGCGATGTGACCAGTGCGCCGTGAACCACTGGAAGATTGCTTCCGGCGAGGGATGCGAGTCCTGCAATTGCGATCCCATCGGTGCCCTGCAGGAGCAGTGCAACTCGTACACCGGCCAGTGCCTGTGCAAGCCCGGATTCGGAGGAAGGGCGTGCAACCAGTGCGAGGCCCGCTACTGGGGCAATCCCAACGAGAAGTGCCAGCCCTGCGAGTGCGATCAGTTCGGCGCTGCCGACTTCCAGTGCGACCGGGAGACGGGTCAGTGCGTCTGCCACGAGGGAATCGGGGGCTACAAGTGCAACGAGTGCGCCCGCGGCTACATCGGACAGTTCCCCCACTGCTCGCCGTGTGGTGAGTGCTTCAACAACTGGGACCTGATCCTGAACGCCCTGGAAGAGTCGACGGCAGCCACCATCCAGAGGGCCAAGGAGATCAAGCAAGTGGGCGCCACTGGAGCGTACACGGCCGAGTTCAGCGAACTGGACAAGAAGCTGCAGCACATCCGGGATCTCCTCCAGAATACCTCGGTTAGCTTGGTGGACATTGACAAGTTGGATGCGGAAACGAAGATCCTGAAGGACCAACTGCTGGCCTCCCACGGACGGTTGAGCGAAACCGAGAGCAACCTGGACGACATCTACAATTCCCTGAGCTTGTCTGGCGTGGAACTGGAGGGCTTGCAGAACCACTCACTGTTGGTGCAAAAGCTGTCCAAGGAGCTGAGGGAGAACGGCATCCAGCTGCAGGAATCCAACATTGACGGAGCTCTGAACCTCACCCGACATGCCTACGAGAAGGTCAGCAACCTGTCCACCCTCAAGGACGAGGCCAACGAGCTGGCCTCCAACACAGAGCACAACTGCAAGCGCGTGGAGATCTTGTCCAACAAGATCCATGGAGAGGCCGAGGGATTAGTCAACAATGACAACATGATTGCCGAATACCGCAGGGATCTGACCAGTCTGACCGCCCAGATTCCGGAACTCAACAACCAGGTGTGCGGCAAGCTAGGCGATCCCTGCGACAGCCTGTGCGGTGGAGCCGGCTGCGGGCACTGCGGCGGCTTCCTCTCCTGTGAGCACGGAGCCAAGACCCATGCCGAGGAGGCCCTCAAAGTGGCCAAGGACGCCGAGGTGGCCATAACGAGCAAGAAGGACCAGGCCGATCAGACGATCCGCGCCCTGACCCAGGCGAAGCTGAATGCCTCGGAGGCCTACGAAAAGGCCAAGCGAGGCTTCGAGCAATCCGAACGCTATCTGAACCAAACGAATGCCAACCTGAAGCAGGCCGCCGAGCTGATCACGGCCATCGAGAACTTCCAGGACAACAAAACCGCTGCTCCGGCTGAGAGCAAGAAATTGGCCGAGGAAACCCTTAGTCTGGACCTCAAGCTGGAGCCCAAGGAGATCGAGTTGCTCGGCACCAAAATCAACGATGCCGTGGCCTCGCTGAAAAACGTGGAATCGATCATCTACAAGACCCGACCCGACTTGGACAGGGTCAACCACCTACAGAGCACTGCCAATGCTACCAAGGAAACTGCCAACCAAATCCTCGACACTGCCAACACCGTGGTGGAGAACCTAGAGGCTGCCGACGAGTCCCAGAGCAAGGCCCAGGATGCCATTCAGCAGGCCAACAGCAACATTGAGCTGGCTGCCAAGGATCTCGAGAAGATCGATGAGGAGACGAATGCCGCCGAGGCTCCGGCCAACAAGACGGCCCAGCAAGTCGAGGAATTGGCCAAGAAACTGCAGCGCCTGCAGAACAACATTGTTAAGAACGATCGGGACGCCAAGGAGATCACCAAGGAGGCGGCCAACGTCAAGTTGGAGGCCATGCGTGCGGCGGGAGAGGCCAACAACCTGCAATCGGCCACCAGTGCCACCAACCAGACCCTAACCGATCGGGCCAGTCGCTCGGAGAACGCCAGGGAGCGGGCCAAGCAACTGCTGACGAGGGCCTCCAAGCTAACAGTCGACACGAATGCCAAGCTGAGGGATCTGAACGAACTGCAGATGGTGTATCAGAACAAGAACCAGGAGCTGCTCGAACTCCAGGCCGAGATCGGCCCACTGAGCGGTCAGCTCAACGAATACTTGCAATACATCCAGAAGAAGGTCCAGGACTACAAGCAGTGCTAGTGAAATGTGAGTATTGAGAAATGTTAAGGGGATTCCCTCTTTAAAGATGGCATTGGCTTAGAGATCATACACACATATATCGATAACTGTTTTACGATAGTAAGGAGCCTTTACTAAATTAATTGAACTTCAAAACTTTATATTTTCAGATTTCTCTGCGAGGCCATTTTTCAATTGCCATATTCATGAACAAATAAGCGAAATTGCGAATAACAAAAATCGAGTTAAAAAGCAATAATAATAATGAAAAATACAATTACAAAGGCAACAGTTATTATGTAACCACTGTTAAGTTACCGTTACGTTTTGTACTCTAAGCGAAAACCAACACTGCAATGTTAATTTTAAAAATTGATCAAATGAAATTAAAATGCCTTCATTTTGAATGTGTACACACTGAGCTAAGTTTTCTTACACTATCCCTATATCATTTTGTAATACAATTAATGTAATTAAATAAAACTACTTAAATGTGAGAATAATGTATTGTATTTGTTTGGGTTTGGAAAAGCGCAAGAGAACCAACAGATTTAACAGAGAGCGACAGGTGAGGAGAGCGTCTATGTGTTTACAGTTGAAAATAAATAAATATAATTTATTGTTTATATAAAAATAATTACAATTTTTATTTTTAACAAAAGTTTAAAGTGAACTCCAGTAAAACTTCTTTACTGCCATCATTTAGTTACCTGAAAAAAACAAATATTTATAATACTAAACTTAAAATTTATTCTTCAATTAATGACTCTTCACTGTATCCATGTTCCTATGTATTGGTCCTTATGCTACCTCAAAGATTGCCATTTTATTCCATTCCGTTTTGTTTTAGTTCTTCTGCACATCGCGTGCGGTTGTTTGTTTTATTTTTGTTTTCAATTTTTGGGTAATTAATTTTTCATATTTTTATTTACGTTCAAAACAAAATATTGTGGAACCGGAAGTTCAACTTTAATGGATAGGCGCAACAGAAAGTCGATAAGGAATTCTGCAGGTACTATTCTTTATAATTCATAATTCGGGTACAGTTGTGGAGAAGCCCACCGCAAAACGAAAAGGTCAAGGTAATGCGGATAATATGGAAAAGTGCTTTTTACAATTTCGAAGCAAGACTACAATATAATTTTGATTAAATGACACAAAGTTTACAAACGATCGAAAGAACTTTGACCAAAAGTAGGGTATCTTCGGAATCTATCGATACCGGTATCGGACTGCCGACCGCCGATAGTGCCATCCCTCACAGAAATCTCAATCCCAAAACAAGTGCGAGCTATTTTAATAAAAAACATTAACGAAAGCAAACGGCGACACGAGACTGAATTAAATAGTCATTTTTTTAAAGAGAAATCTTAATTGTAGTGCGTGTTAAATATTTATTAACTTTTTAATTGCGACATCCGTGCGACATTTCTCACACACTCTCACTCTCATACATACACACGCACACCGAGCTGATGTTCTGATTTTATGCAAGACAAGCGCTAAAATAAGAATATCTGAAATATCTCTCCGAATATCAAAAATATAATGCCAAAGAAAGGCGAACGACGGGCGAATAAAGAGCATCTGTAAGCTACAGAAAGGGACAGGACGAAAACGGAAAGGGAAACGGCGCAACGGCGAGGGAAAAGGAGGAGGGAGGAGCCAAACGAAAACAAAAACGGGAGCACTGCCGCCTGTCGCAGCGGAAAATAGTAAAAATATCAAAAGAAAATAAGAGGAAAATTCGCAACGACATCTGACGTGCAGCGTCAAGTGTTTTCTTCCCCTCTGAGTACGTTTTTTCCCCTAAAACTGGCTCCGATCCGTTTCTGATTGGGATGCATATTTCGAGCCATCTGCTGACCTTTCCCATTAACATTTTACGGAATCGGAATTCCGCAGAAAACGTAAATTAAAAAATAAGTTCATTGCTAAAATAATAAAATTATTTACTGCGAATAGTAAATATTTTTGAAATAATATCGAACAAAGAAAGTACATTTTTACGACTTCCGATTCCGCCAAAATTTGATTTAATTTTAATTAGGGGAAAATTTATACATTATAGTCCGACCCCTTTGTTGTTTACTTCAATTTTGTTTTTTATATTTCTTTTATACATATATACGATTTTTTTTTAAATACAAACATCCACCCACATTCCCACAGCGCTTGTCCAACAGCCTTGCATGCGTCTCGCTTGAATACCATTGACAGAGCTGATATCGAAAGGCCAGGAGACCCCAATCCCAATAGTTGACAGCTTTTCCCATGGACGACGAACTGGAAGATAGGGTGTTCTATCAGACATACGTATCGCACATGAAAATCCTGTCCAAATTTGCGGTGGGCTTCTCGTCCATCAACTCGCCGCTGGCCTACATATGGAAGCTATGTCGGCTCTACGTCCTCCGGCCGGAGGTGATCTTCTGTGGAATGATCCTCTTCGTTCTATTGCTCTACTTGCAAGCGGTAGATGTGTGGAGTCGCAGCATCCTGGGTCGCATCCAGGCCACGTTGGGCCGCCAGAAGGCGGTTAAGATGATGGAGATGTCGGCCAGTGCCGGAGATCACCAGAGCTGGGAGGAGCTGAAGCAACAGAGCTCGGCTTTTGCGGTTCTAGGACGCAGACCACGCATGGAGGATAGGTAATGTGATGCTATAAGTCTTGAACTTTGACTTTGAACTAATCACCAGACAAATCTTCTGTAAACATCGCAATCTCATCGTGTCCCAATTTCCAAAAGTCAAAGTTCATGCTTATGAGATAGCAATGGGGTTATTTATGAACTTATTCCGATTGTATTTCAGGTTCATCATCGAGGAGAACATCAACAACAACACCGGCATCTCATTCTTTGCCGTTTTCGACGGACATGGCGGAGAGTTCGCCGCCGACTTCGCCAAGGATGTGCTGGTGAAGAACATCTACAACAAGATCATTGACATGACAAAGCTGTTGAAGAGCGATGGAGGATTCGGTGATTACGACAAGAGTCCTTACTTGTCGCGCAAACAGAGCCGCAAGGACTCCAACAAGGAGAACGCAGAGCCCGCGGCAGGAGTTGCCCGGAAAGATAGCTTGAGGAAGGCCCACAGCACCACCGCGGACTGTAGTGCCATCAAACAGAAGACCACAGAAGCTTCGATTGCTGACATCTACACAGCTCAGCTGAACACAGCGATGAGAATAAGCGGAAATGTTGGTGCCGCCAAAGACACCTTTTTAAACAACAACAACAATGCCCAGAACGGAGCAGCAAATGCACCGCCTCCGAATTTGGAGGCCAAGTGCTATATCGAGAACGGACGCATCAACTTTGGTAAACTTATCACAGACGAGATTATGTCGGCCGATTACAAGCTGGTGGAACAGGCCAAAAGGGCGGTAAGATAATATTCCAATTATTACTGTGTTGTTATCTTTAATCCTTGCCTATTTCAGACCAATATTGCCGGAACTACGGCTCTGATAGCCATTGTCCAGGGGTCCAAGCTGATTGTAGCCAACGTGGGCGATTCCCGGGGCGTAATGTACGATTCCCGGGGCATTGCCATTCCGCTCTCGTTCGATCACAAGCCCCAGCAGGTGCGCGAACGGAAGCGAATCCACGACGCTGGCGGATTCATTGCTTTCCGGGGCGTTTGGCGCGTGGCCGGGGTTCTGGCCACGTCACGTGCTCTCGGCGATTATCCGCTAAAAGATAAGGTACATATAGCAGCAGTGGGATGATTTCAAAAAGGCTAATCTATATTTTATTTTAGAATCTAGTGATTGCAACGCCCGACATATTGACCTTCGAGTTGAACGATCACAAGTGAGTGCAATGACCTCCAATAATGGAATAGTTTTTAAAAACTTATACTTTTTAGGCCACGTTTTTTGATTCTGGCTTCTGATGGCCTGTGGGATACGTTCAGCAACGAGGAGGCCTGCACCTTCACCCAGGAGCACTTGAACGAGTCCGATTTTGGGGCCAAGTCCCTGGCAATGGAGTCCTACAAGCGGGGCTCCGTTGACAACATCACAGTTCTGGTGATTGTCTTCAAGAACGATGTCTACAAGATTGGCAGTAGTTCGGCTGTCAAGGCGGCTGAGGAGGCCCTCAAAGTCCCAGCCAAGTCACAGAACGTTGCCGCAGCCGTCGTGCAACGATCGAACTCGATCAAAACCAAATGAAATCAACCCACTAGAGTGCCTGCTAGGAAATGCTATTTAGCTTTGCCCTTACACTTTTTCTCCCTCCTCCAAGAACGACAAAGTGCCCAAAATTTCTAGTTAGGTGTTTTCAAAAAAAAAAAAATTATTTGTTTTTCGCGTTTGTGTTACTTATTATCGCCAGAGCCATCCCCATCCATTCATATACATCACAGTCTTGGCCTTGCGAGGTCATCATTTGTCTCTGGGTACTTCCTCTCGATTATATCTAAGGTTGTGGGGTAGCCCATGTTAGCCGCATACTTAACCATACCATAAAACCATACCTACTTGGACCACGAATCATCATCAATCGCATCTATTTATTTAATTTATTTGTTATACTTGTAAAATAGTTTTATTTTATAAATTATCTAAAGGTGTTTACAAATAAAAAAGAGAAATCGAACTAAATGCGACTGCTTCGAGTTGCAAAAATTTAAAAGAAAATGGAGTTTTTCATTTGGAAAATGATGGAAAGTTGGGAAAAGTCTGAAACAGTGGTCGGCAGGGTCCTATTTCAGGGGCTATCCCTGCCGCACATACACTGTATAGAAGTACATTCAAAATATATCAATGTATTGCGTGCCGACCACTGGTCTAAACATTGGACCCACCTCGCATATCCTTCATATGCGACTGCTCCGAGTTGCTAAAATTTAAAGAAACTGGAGTTTAATATTTTTAAAATAGTGAAAAGTTGGGGAAAAGTCTGAATCAGTGGTGTGAAGGGTCCTATTCCAGGGCCATAGTCATGCTCGCATCCTACCTTCTGCTTTTCGCTACTAATACTAATGCATTCTAACTATATCAATGTATTAAGTGCCGACCACTGGTCTAAAGTTTAGACCCACCTCATATATCCTTTAAAAATGTATGATTTCCAAGAAAGTCCTTAAAATTTAAAAACCAAAATCCCCCACCATTGAAAACTTATCTTCTTTAGAAATCATACATTTTTATTAAACAGGATATGGTCACACTATAAATTAAAAACCCCATCTTATCCTAAGCCTTGTGGTCTCCCCGCCCCTTCCTTCTACCATAAAAATATTTATATATTATGTTGTACATCGCGCTTATATCTTTTATTTTGTTTAATTTTTAAACAAACAGTTTCGCGGCCAGTACGGTGGTCAGCTTAATTAACTTAATGAGCCGAAACAGACACCTGCCAGACACGGATAATGTTGTCGGAGTAGCCGGCGAACAGGGTCTGTCCGTCGGTGGACCAGGCCAGAGACAGGCACTGGGGCTGGTCGGCCTTCGACGTGGGCGAGACAACCTCGGGGCGCAGCTCCTCGACGGTCTTCTTGCAGGCCAGATCCCAGATCTTGATCGAGGGACCGTAGGCGACGCACAGCCAGTAGCGGTTGGGCGAGAAGCACAGGGCATTGATGATGTCGTTGTGCTCCAGGGTGTACAGGTTCTTGCCGTCATTCAGATCCCACAGCAGGGCCTTGGAGTCCTTGCCACCGGAGGTGCAGAGGGAGCCATCGGGCGAAACGGTGACTGTGTTCAGGTAGCCGTTGTGGCCGTGGTGGTTGTTCTTCAACTTGCAGTTGGCCAGGTTCCAGACCTTGACGGTACGATCCCAACCGCAGGACACGATGATCGGGTTGGAGTGGTTGGGCGAGAAACGCACGCAGGACACCCAGTCAGTGTGGCCATCCTCCTGGATGGTGAACTTGCACTCGGCAAGGGTGTTCCACAGCTTGATGGTCTTGTCCCGAGAACCGGACACGATCTGACGGTTATCGGCCGAGAAGGCAACCGACAAAACGTCCTAAAATCGAAGCAGAAATATACAGATTAGTTCCATAATTTAATCAGATGTTTAGTATTTCTATAAAGCATCAGAATCTATGGTTTATGTTTGTTTTCCTACTTACGAGAACTTCACATAAGTATTAGCGGAGACTCGGTCGAAGGGAGAACCGTGTGTATGTAAAGATGTCAACCAGAAATTCTGCCTCGCATAGGCGCAATATATATATTCTTTCGATTCGTAGCCGGTAATGGCGAACCTAACCTCACTCCTAACCTTACTTTTAGGCCAGTTACCGGCATCGATATCGAAGCAAGAAGCAAAGCTCATGTCCCTAAGCGAACTGAGTTAAATTGGAAACTTATCCCACCTTGGTGTGTCCCTCGAAGCGACGGGTGGTCTTGCCAGCAGCCAAATCCCACAGACGCAGAGTCTGATCCCAGGAGCCAGAGAGGGCGTAGTTTCCATCGGAGGACAGCACAACATCGCTGATGAAGTGCGAGTGTCCGTAGAGACGCTTCTGGGGGTAACCGTAGTTGGTATCCTCATCGCGGGTCAGCTTCCACACGATCAGGGTCTTGTCTGCAACATAACACCATTTATTTTAATAATCGTCAACGGATGCTGAAAATATTTAAAGATTGGCAGGGGGCTTGGAACGGAACTACGTACCACGGGAGGCCGAGATGATGGTGTCGGGATCCTTGGGGTTGGTGGCGATCTGGGTGACCCATCCATTGTGGCCAATGAGGGTACCGCGCAATTGCAGGGTTTCGGACATCTTGGTTTAATATTAACAACCTAATTTCAGAATAAATACATTAAAATCTAGGAACGACGAGCGCCGAAAATTTTGCTTGTTACCTCGCCGGAAACGGAAAAGAAAAGAAGGAAAGCTGGTCCCACTAGAAGCAATGACTTCGACGTTAGCCACCCTGTGGACTTCTTCTTCCTCGCATACAGACACTCTGTGTAAATTTTACATCGGGATTTTTAAATTACTAAATTTTTTAAAACGAAAAGAATTAAATAAGTTTTTTTAATGAATAAACCCAACAGTTTTTTATTTAAAAAAAAGTGAAATCCCCCAATCTCAGAACTCTGGTAGTGACTAGATTTTGTGAAAAAACCTGAAAAATGTGTCAAAAGCATTGTTGGTAGTAACACCTTTCAGAACTACGACAAAAGTAGAAAAAAATTAAACAAAACCAAAAAAACCCAAAAAATAAACAAAATTAGATGGAGATTTTTTAGATGCTTCTTTTTTAAGAGCAAGACTTTTAAGCCACAAATTTTCGGCTCGAATCGGCAAAGCAGTGCATTGGCAATCTCCTTAGGCGCAGGTTGGTATGTATGCAATTATCCATAAAGTTATAAAACATTACAAAGTTATTAACATTCATTTTGTCCCTTGATCAATTAGCTTTGCATAAATTACTCTTTCTTTTCATTTGACTGCGAAGGGACCAGCAAGCAGTTTTCAGTATTTTTGGCGTGGGAAGAGGAAGCCGTTAAGGTAGGCCTGCAAAATACTAAATTAAAATAATACTAATTATTCTTATATATATAATAAATATAATTTCGAAATATTATGAAAATAGTAACCTAGTACCATCAAAAGATATGAACTAAACTTAAACTTGGCGCTCGGTGCAACTGCACTACATCTAGCTCACATATTAGTGTGACCAGACAAATGTAACATCGATATTTATATTTCGATAACTTATATCGATTAATTGATTATTTTCAGCATCCCTAGATAAGGCACAAACGGTCACACCAAGTCTCTCCTTCGTCAAAAAATCGTGTCGTCGCTTTGTGAACAAAAAAAATAGAGGAAAAATCGCCCAAAAACGGAGAAGAATCAAGCTTGAATCGCTTGGGCACTGGAATTTGTGAGAGAAAACCGAGTGATTCGCGGCTGGCTAGCGACCCGCATCGAGAGAAGAACTTTTTTCGTCCCCCTAGTTCAACAGAAGCCGTCAAAATTGAATCGACAAAGATTGACGAGACTTTTTCTTCCACCACAACTGCGATGGAAGATAAAGCAACAACAAAAGATCTTGATCAATGGATTGAGCAGTTGAACGAATGCAATCAATTGACAGAGACACAAGTTCGCACCCTTTGCGACAAGGTAAGGCCTGGTCCTCGCCAATTTGGGATGTTTAAAAATAATTTTCGTCATTGCATGCGAGCGATTTTTGCAAATGGTGCTCCCGTGCGTGCCTCAGCAGCTCTCCCTCTCGTTCCCTCTCACGCGGCTGGCATGAATCACGTCCGACGCTCTCGCTCTCACAGTAGCGGCGGCTTGCGGCGCCATATTGGAAATTCCAACAGCCAAGCGAAGCCATAGGTTGCGTGCGAGAGAGCGAGACGGCGGTAGGGACAAGTGCGTGCGTGAATGCGATAGCTGCTACAACGGCGCTTTGAGAAATAATTTTTTTTTATTGTATTTAGCACGAAATTGTTTAGTTTATTTAGTTTTTGGAAAATGTGCTTAGACACGGTTGTTGTTTTTCCCCCCTGAGGGGGGAGAGGGGAATATAAATTCTCCCTTGCGCGATCCTGTTCCGAGTGCCTAAATCGGTTTTCGTTAAGTA